CATAGGAGAAGCCATACTGGAACTGACCAATGGTCCATCTACTCCAGTGTCCTGTTTCCAACAGGAGCTGGTCATATACCACAGGGAAGCCCATGAGCAGACCAATGCCCATACCTGCTGACCGCTCCCCAGAAACTGTCAGAAGTGTTCTTTCTCTGAACCTGGAGGCCCCACTTGGCTGTCATGGCTAACAGCAAATGACAGTCCTGTCCTCCTCTAAAAGGTCCGGTCCTCCTCTATAGCCCCCTAAGCCAGCAGCCATCAATCACCACATACAGTTGCAGTGAGTTCTGCAAGTCACTTCTGCACTGTACGAAGTATTACTTTCTTTTGCCTGTCGCGTATGCGGTCTTGATTTGTTGAGACAATCCAGAAACTCCCTGCCCGTGCCCTGAATAAAAAGCTGTCCATTGGGAGACAGCAAAACTACTTTCAGCGCTCTACCTTAAATACAGCTGCTGAAGCCATGGCAATTGAAAACAGCAAGCTCATCATCTGAATCCTCCCTTCCCGTAACTCTCAAAGCTGCTCTTCCAGTCTCAGTAAAAAGCGCATGTATTTATAGCTCGTGTGGCCGTTTTTGCTCTGTGCAGTCAGCATTCACCCGAGTAGGTAGCTGAGGCTTGGTGGCCACTCCGTTCATTACCTTCACCCTTTACAATCATAAGTCTCACTGAGAATACTGCTGGAGCTGCTGTCTCATCCACGTTGGTAAATACGGAACAAAGGGTGAAGTTTAACGGTGCTGAAAAGCATACCCAGAAGGAAAGGAAGCATTGCATGGTTCTCAAGGTAACGTGCCGTCTTCGCTGTACAATTCCCAAGCAGTGATGCAAGAACACAGGCAAGCACAAAAAACCCAAATAAGTTGATTTAGAACTCTTAATTGACAGTCAGTTTGGTGTGGCAGTTAAGAGTGCAGACTCTAATCTGGGAGAACTGGGTTTGATTCCCCACTTCTCCGCATGCAGCCACTGGGTGACCTTGGGCAAGCCACAGTTCTCTATCAGAGCTGTTCTCTCAAGAGCAGTTCTCAGACAGAGCTCTCTCAGCCCCACCTACCTCACATAGGATGTCTGTTGTTGGGAAAGGAAGAGAAAGAGATTGTAAGCTGCTCTGAGACTCCGAGTAAAGGGTGGAGTATAAATCCAATCTCTTCTTCTTCTTAATTTAAAAAGCTTCCCACAGGTGTCACTCATGATTTGTGAGTTGCCAACCCTAGAACGGGCAGCTGTGCTTACTGCAGTTGTGGGGATACTCCCTTGTGGAAGAAATATGGTTGTCCTCCACCTAGACCTAAACGGGCTCCTCTTCCTTTAGAAACATTGTGGAAGAAGACGAAAAGTTGGTTTTCATACCCCGCTTTTCTCTGCCTCTACCACTTACAACCTCCTTTCCCTTCCTCTCCCCACAACAGACACCCTGTGGGGTAGGTGGGGCTGAGAAAGCTCTAAAAGAACTGCTCTTGAGAGAACAGCTCTGAGAGAACTGTGACTGGCCCATGGTCACCCAGCTGGCTTCACGTGGAGAAGTGGGGAATCAAACCCGGTTCTCCCAGATTAGTCTGCCACTCACATCATGCTGGCTCTCAGGGTTGTGGGTAGCAACAGATGAACTTCTCATGGCTTGAATTGTAAGTGGGTCACAAATAGGGTTGCCAACTCTGGCTGAGAACACATGAGCACATGAATATACTGAATCAGGCCTCTTGGGTCCATCAAAGTCAGTACTGTCTACTCAGACTGGCAGCAGCTCTCCAGGGTCTCAGGCTGAGGTCTTTCATATCACCTCCTGCCTGGTCCTTTCAACTGGAGAGGCCGGGGATTGAACCTGGGACCTTCTGCATGTCAAGCAGATGCTCTGCCACTGAGCCACAGTCCTTCCCCAAAGGAAATTCTCAGAGATCTGGGGGTGGGACTTGGGGAGGGCAGGGATTGGGGAAGAATGTGACCTCAGTGGGGTAAAATGCCGTAGAGTCCACCCTCCAAAGCAGCCTTTTTCTCCAGGGGAACTGATCTCTGTAATCTGGAGACGAGATGCAATTCTGTGAGATCTCCAGCCACCACCTGGAGACTGGCAACAACAGTCAGTCCCTCTGACTTCATTATTAGGGAGGCTCAGCCAACACAGGGCCCTAAGTGAATAGTGCCCCTTCTGCCACGTGACTCCTGAAGTTTATGGGCCTTTGAAGATTTTTTTCCTGCCAGTGCCAGATGTTTCCACACCTGAAGTAAAAAGGACCACCCCAGCCCCACTTCGGAGTGCTGCCCATTCACCACACACAAAGAGACGAAGTCGGAACGCGGCCACACCTTTGGGGTCCCCTGCCTGAAGCCACTGCTTCCTGTAGAGGCGGGTTCTGTCTTCCTCTCCCATCCTGTCTGGTTCTACGGAACTCATTCCACGGAGCTTTCCCCTCCCCTCTCTACTCCTTTCACTACAGCCAAGGGCTGCCAACTCCAGCTTGGGAAACTCCTGGAGATTTGGGGACAATGTCTGGGGAGGACAGAGTGTGGGGAGGGGGGGGAGCTCAGTGGAGATGTGATGCCACGGAGCCCACCCTCCAAAGCGGCCTCTTCCCCCAGGGAAACTGATCCCTGTGGTAATCCCACGAGAATTTCAGGCCTCACCCTGGGGCTGGTCACCCCGAGGGCCAAAGTCAGCACGCCCTGAGGTGGAACAGCAGCCAGGGCGCACTGCCACAAAATCTGCATTGCTGGCAGGAAGCATGTCACATACTGCCAGGAAGGTGGGAGAGTTGCGGTGCTCCTATCTGGCCACAGGACTCAGCACTAGGGCTGTCAGCCTCCAGGTGGGACCTGGGGATCCCCCCGAATTACAGCTCATCTCCAGACTACACAGATCAACCCCCCTGGAGAAAATGGCTGCTTTGGAGGGTGGACTGGCATTATACTCTGATGAGGTCTCTCCTCTCCCCAAACTCCACCCTCCCCAGTCTCCACCCCCAAAACCTCCAGGTATTTCTCAAGCCAGAGTTGGCAAACCTACTCAGCACCATTGGGGAGAGGACATATGGTCAGTAGGAAGGTTCACAAATCAGCAGGGTAAAG